CAACCTGTAGAGGTATGGTGAGTGGAAGGTGCATCTGTATTATTTCATTTTTGATATAAAGCGCCACCCCACCTTGGTGACGTTTGCCGGTTGTGTCGTCACCACGATATAAGGAATAATTTGAAAATTTAAAGTTATATGGGTCGGCAGGACGAAACCGGGCTTCCTGCACAGCTATAATGATGGGAACTAATGCTGCAAAAAAATTCATTTCGGGCCATTTTGAAATAAGACCGCAACAATTCCACTGTAAGACGACAGACATTCAATGGTGGTTTGACCCATCCCCACCGGTTGGTGAGAATCGGCAGAAAGAAACTGATCAAGGCCGGCCCATGGCTACCCTGACAGGGGGCCAGGACCGGCGGTCTTCGCCCGGGCGCGTTGTAGCAGGTGTTGTTCCGGTGGAGGGGGACGGGCCGTTTGTACGGCGGCCAGAGGGCCCCGGCTGCCGACCGTTCGCAGTCGGAGGGCTGGAGCGCTGGCCGACCCGGAGACGGGAGGGCGCGGAGGTTCGAACGCGAGGCCAGGGCCGGCTCAAAGGAACAATTCTGCCGGGCTTATGTGCTTGATGTAACTGAGACAGTCTTGACTGGAACAAGGATTTTCAGCGGCGATAACTGGGGAAACGGCTCTGTTTATGTACTAAATTTCACCACTTTTACTTTTGTTGCTTGCGCGTATGATTTTGAGGACGACAAATATATTTTTGCCTCGACAGTGTGTCGTGCTTGTTGGTAAGATACATCTGTCTTGACCTTTTCGGAGCAGATCTCCTTTTCTTTTCTCTATGCCGGCCACTGGAAAGAATTGGCGCTGTGGTCTGCACTTCCACAGCTTAAACATCTTTGGGGTGATGTGCACACGGACCCCTCGTGAGGGGTCTCTCCGCACTTGAGGTACCTTGCACTCTGTTTGCAGAGCGTGCAGCCGTGTCCGAACTGTTGCCATTTGAAATATCTGAGTGGATTTGGAATAAATACCCTGACTTGATATCGGAGGCAGCCGGCTGTGAGAGTCTCTGGGAAGCGGGCGATTGCAAAGTAAAAACAAGTAGGCTGGTGTCCTGATGCTGCCCGTTGCGGAACGTGGTTAGTCGTCGAACATGACAAACGTTGTCAGCTCTGAGCTCCACTAAGATCTCCCCCCAAAACAGGATCCCCTGGCAGAAAGCCGCCACAGGAGCAACCAATTCTACCAGGAATTGCCTTGCCACCCGGGCGTATCCGGCGAATGGGTCGACGATCTTTGTTGTGATTTAAATGGTTTAGTTTTTGGGATTAGAGCCATTTCGACCAGAAATAATCGTTTCAGTGCTGTGGGATGAAGGATAATGGTTAACGGTGGGGTAGACTAGCGCGCTTCTTGGGGGGGGGGGGAAGGGGGGCAACCGCCGGGCTTTAAATCACGCAAGCGCGCTGGATACCTTATCGGGGTCCCCCTCCACGAAGCTCTCGGCCCACTCGTGGCTGACGCACGCAGCCTGCCCGTACAAGCGGGATGTCGCTAGGACGCATGGTAAATCAAGACGGAGAATTCAGGGGACGAATGTAAGTTAAGTAAGTAGGTTCATAAGTAGGTTCAAGTAAAATATAGCATATGGCATGTGCATACTACCGAAACGTTCTAGAAATGAGGTTCGGAAATGAATATCTTACGAGTGAGGTACCTGAAAATGTCACCGAAAGAGAAAATAACGCAACCACTGATGAACAACACGGGAAACACAAAAACAAACCGACGCTGACCCACCAGCTAAGTTGCCGCAGCAATCGCGTTGCGGTTCAACAGTGCCATCTTGTGGCGTGCAAGAGAACTTCAAATGTATATATATATATATATATATATATATATATATATATATATATCCTCTTAATGCTTTCTAATGCGATCCGATTTCCGATCCTCCGACTGTTATTTGAGGGTCGAGGGAAGACGGCTGGAACCGCGACGGAGCCGACGCGTAGCCAAAACACAACGGCGTTGGTCTCTTTAAGCCACAGGGTATACTCAGTAATATTCCTCGGACTCCTCATCTAACACTATCTGATTGTAGGCGCTTGAAAGGTCTTCTTTGAAAAGACTGAATATCCAAACCGTTTAACCCGCAGTTACTCGACTCCCCGAAGAGGATACTTCTCCAGACGAGCTATCTGATTTACGGAGTGCGGAGCAGCCGACCTCCAGCGCTTGAGCCTCTGCCGACTCGAAAGCGCGCGCCACCGTCAGCGCCGTGTCCAGAGTCTGACCTGTCTGACTCAGCAAACGGGTCTGCAACCTGTGTCCCGAGCGCCGCACACAAGCCTGTCCCGCTGGCTATCCTGAAACACGCTCGCTGGAAACGAGCGGTGCTCAGCCAGCTTGCGCAGTCGGGCCGCAGAATCAATCACTGATTCACCGTCTGCCCGACAGCACAAATGGTACCGGAATCATTGGACTAAGACTAATTTCTACGGCTCAAAGTGGTCCGACAGTGTAATTGAGCTCGGAGGGGTTCCGCGGAGACACCAGGTCTTCCAGCAATCCGTAGGTGCTCGAACTCATCACATTGATGAAATTCGCGCGATGCTTCACTGCCACATCTGCCGGAAAGTAATTGGCCACAAAAAACGTTCCCATCGCCGCACAACCGACGTTAACGATTCCGATCAGTCGCCAAACTCCGGGGCGCGGTTCCAAAGATCCGCCATCACGCACGCACACAGCCTGCCCCGTCGCCAGCGGCACAGACGGGCTCTCGGTACAGACTGTGCCCGAGGGCACCCGCTGACCGGTCACGGATCGCACCTCCTACGCCGACCAATGGCAGGGCGCCACGCCATGGAGGGCGGTTTGCATACCCAGCCCATTACACTCCTTAAACAAAGCCTGTGACGGACTCGGGGCCAGTAGCTAACACATGACCTCCTGTTTGGCACTGTGGACCCCTGAACGACGCAGGGTTGTTGCAGTAGGGGTGTTATCATCAGCAAATGACCGACATTGTCCTCAGAGAGAGCCAAATGCTAATCTTGTATTGACTTACAATGACAGTTGGATCACCATACCACAAAGTCTACTGCTATTTAAATCAAAACTCTTGGCAAACAGGAAATGACGATGGAGCCTATACCTCAGTCCCTCCTCATTGCCTACATTTGCTACACCACCTCACGCCTCACTTTTCATTTCCTTCCCATTGGGTACAGCATTAGTTACTATATACATTTCAAGTAACTAAGATTTATGAAAGCAAAGGGCTGAACGGTAAATAATTGCTTAAATGCTAACAAACACTGATGAAAGGAATGCGCTTCAAGCAGGGGCATAGCTTTTTATGACAGACTGGGGGAGTCATACCCTACTCATCTGAGCAACTGAGCGGCAGCGTCGCAGCCACGCCGCGGTTCTTAAGCTTCCCTTCAGTCCACCCCGCCCGGCTGACCTGAGTACACACGGTGGCGGCGAACTGCGCCATCTGCCTCAGTTGCGTCATCTCACGCCGCGAGCGCTCCTCGGCCAGCTGCGTGCCGTTCAGCGCGGCCGTCTGGTGCAGCCGCAACAGGAGGCGGCTGACGAGCCGCTGGTTTTCCGTCTGTGCGCCCAGCACGCGCAGAGAGCGGACCAGCGCGCGGCCTGCCGGCTCGGCGTCGGCCGGCGGCGCCGCGGCCGTGGCCGCCGCCAGCTGCAGCGCCGCCGCCAGGCCGCGCGAGGCCTGAGGCAGCGTCAGGCCCAGACCGTGCGGGAACAGCAGCCGGCCGGCCAGGCTCATCGCTGGTGCCACCTGGCGGCACAGGCCGCCTGTCAGGCGCTGACATCGGTTGATCGCCTCGACCAAATACACAGACCTGCACGCTTATGAGCCTTGCGATAATGGCAAAGCATAGGTCCTATACATTTGTATCAACGTGTCTTATTAATCTTATTCATTTCGCTTCACATCCCCGCCTTCCGTACCGAAAGCTGATGAAAACCCATTTTTTACCCGGCCTGTTACAAGAAGTGATGTAGAATTGCGTAGGCACGCAGTTCTTTTGTCCGGGACTTAGTCCATGCGTGAGGTGCAGTGATGATGGAACACGAGACCAGCCGTCAAACCAGTGTGAGATGACAGAAAAATGGCGTAAAAGCTAGTTTCATCGAGGGTCAGCTTAAACATACATGGTCTCCGATACGAAAACCAGGCTTTCAAAATGCACCGGAAAGGGTGAAATGATCAGTCATTAAGCGCATTCATCGCAAACATGATTATCTGTAACCATATGGTCTGTCTATACCAGGTTTTTGTCTCGCCGTCGAAGGTGAGTCAGTCAGATAACGTTACGAGAAAAGGTGTGATGTGCAATCTGTGCCCCATTGTGCTCAATTTGGGATTAAAATCGGCTTACTTCACGCAACGAAATGCATACCTAAGATTCAGATCTTCGTTTAAATGATCTTAAACATCCGGGTATAGTTGCAAGCACAATCGATCAAGTACAGGTACAAGTGAAGAACAATCGGCATTGATACAACTATAATCGATTACAATCGATGCACCACCGCTCATCGTCTACAAATATGACGACAACCAGCTGCGTGTTGAGCATGGCCACGGACTCCTGTTGGCTCTGACAATATGCCCGGTGTGACCGGATGGAAAGGAGGAAAAGCAAGCGTTGTCAGTGGATCAGCGAGAGCTGACAACAAGTATGACGCATTTAACGAAATAATGACGTGAGCAGCTGCGCAGGTTATCGCTTGGGGCTATGTGTGCCCTTCCGTCTCCCTGTAAAAATTGTCATGCGAACACAGCATCAGGCGGTTACTGAAATACGATTGGCCGCTGACGGGGATACGGAAGACGGGTAAAACCATAGCGTTAAGCGCACGTGATTGGCAGCAAATAAGTTAGAAACTTTATCGGTACAGCTTTTCAAATTGGCCTACCCGAGTACATGATTGTTTTCGGAATCAAGACCGGGTGTGCTCGTCGATGAACACAGTGCAAGATAGTTGCCAGCGCGCTTACAGTCGTCATACTCTGATTACAACGGCGCCGCCTTCTACCGCCGGTCCTTCAGTATATCCCGTCTCTGCCCGCAGCCCGAAGTTTCCAGAGGCCAGAGGCCTCTCACCAGGTTCACGTCACCATCGCCAGCACCGGCGTCCGTCAGCGTCACCGGCCGGCCACCAGACCGCGCCACCGTCTGCAGCAGTTCGTCCAGGTAGCTGATCTGCTGGGGGCTGAACTGTCCGGGCGGCTGGTGCTGCTGCTGCTGGTGCAGCAGCTGCAGCCAGGCTGCTATCAGCCGCTCCTCCTGGCGCACCTTGCGCCGGTGGGCGCGCACCCAGCGTCGCTCTGGCATCTGAGGTCAGGTCACAGGAGGCTAGTCTCTCGCGCTTTCGGCTAGTCTCTCTTAACACCACCGGAACCAAGCACACCTGACTCATCCAGCCAGTATCATTATCACATTACGCACCGTTTAAAAAGTGTTATTGGTGAGTATCACCCAGATCAACACAGTTCGCTGACCTCTCTCGACCTTCCCCTTCTCACCCCGGGGGCCGGCTCGTCGCGAAGGCTAGTCGCGTGCAACGAGCGCAGAAACCTCTCCAAGATGGCGGCGTCCACACCGTAGTCCTCCGGCGCCGACTCCTTGCGAAGCATCACGTTGTGGCCGGGGAAGAAGTAGCTGCGCAGGTTGCGGTAGCGCAGCGCCTGTTCCAGCGCGTCCAGGATCCGCAGCACGTGTCTGCTGACGGACGCCACACTCCAGTGCTCCACGCGCGCGTCCAACTCCAGCTCGAAGAAAAACAGGGTCTTCAGCATGTAAGTGCTGATGCAAGAGAGGAGGTCCTGGGGAGAAGGTGCGTTCGCTATAAATTGACAAAGAGGACAGTCATCCGTTGCCGTCAGCAGTTTTCCACGTTTATGCGCGGACACCACCACGCTGTTGACAGAATGTTGGGCTTGTACGACATTGATTCTCAGATTTAGCGGTTCATACGTATTCCGAATAAAAGGCGTATTACGTAAGAGGTGTACAAATAAAACCGTATTAGCCCCGTCCAGCACCGATTACACGATGCTTGTAAAAGCACGCACGGTATGGATCAGACGTAGTGAGTGTTTCAGAAGCCTTCGTTCTCAGTTCAATGCGTGCTGTGTGTGACAACAGTCCGACAGCGTCGTTGCGGGATTATCCAGCGCCTATGAGGCGCCAGAGTTCAATATCACCGGCCTATTGTGTTTACCACCGTATTAATCAAAAAGAAAAGATGACATTATTACATTCCGTGTTAACCCATTACTTCTACCTTACACACAACGGGCTACCACGTTGAAATATTTTACTACACCATGACACGCGCGTTTCCTAGATGACTTGGCATGATAAACAATGCCGCTTTGTTCTGAAAGGAATGCTGTCTTATTGTACTGAGTATCATGGTCTTCATGCTTTTGTTTAGATGGTAAATACAAATCAATCAGTTTTGTGATTTCTAACCGGAGCGATATTCTAACATAGCCTAAACATTGCTTGATACCATAATACGAAAGTTAAAGGGAATGTTCCCCATTTTAAGATATTGAAACAAACGTCAGATATGATGAAAAAGGTCGCTTATAACTATTTTTATACTTTTAAGTGGAAAACCCGCACTAAGGAACATAATTTTTGTGTTGAGTAAATATGCTTCTCAATACGCCATTGTTTGGTTACGCCATCGTACCTTGCACAATATTGATTGAAAGCCAATTGACGGACGCTATGCCTGGAAATCGTGTTTGCGAACGCCCAGGTGTGAACAACCCGACAATGGTATTTCCTTGGCCATGATCGCTGCATGGCTGATGAAATGGCAGGATTTAAACGAAAATGCTTTCAAACATAGAAGCTTTAATCAGAGCAGTTTTTAGCAGGTAACATAAGTATATTATAACCTGCATGATATCAGTGCTGATGTCACGAATTAGTGGTGACACTGTTTTTTTTCAATGCCCCTTAGCCAAGCGCATTTCACAAATTCTCAGTCAAGATCCACTTCACGTAATGAACGGTACAAACTACTCAATAACGAGCCTTATTACCAGCCGTAAGAAACGTAGCTGGCCTCAGCGCCTTGCGACCAACGTGATCAGTCCGCCGCGCAGTGTTTTACAGTCGGGTCATCTGAGACAGATGGATTCGAATGCTCGCCACTCGGCTGTGAGTTGAGTTCAGTACGAGGCTGTGGGCTGCCGCTGGTTGTTTACAGTCGGGTCATCAGAGACAGATGGCTTTGAATGCTCGCCACTAGGCTGTGAGTTGAGTTCAGTACGAGGCTGTGGGCTGCCGCTGGTTGTTTACAGTCGGGTCATCAGAGACAGATGGCTTCGAATGCTCGCCACTCGGCTGTGAGTTGAGTTCAGTACGGGGCTGTGGGCTGCCACTGGTTGTTCACGGTCGGGTCATCTGAGACAGATGGCTTTGAATGATCGCCACTCGGCTGTGAGTTGAGTTCAGTACGAGGCTGCAGGCTGCCGCTGGTTGTTTACAGTCGGGTCATCTGAGACAGATGGCTTCGAATGATCGCCACTCGGCTGTGAGTTGAGTTCAGTACGGGGCTGTGGGCTGTCACTGGTTGTTTACAGTCGGGTCATCTGAGACAGATGGCTTCGAATGCTCGCCACTAGGCTGTGAGTTGAGTTCAGTTCGGGGCTGTGGGCTGCCGCTGGTTGTTTACAGTCGGTTCATCAGAGACAGATGGCTTCGAATGCTCGCCACTCGGATATGAGTTGAGTTCAGTACGAGGCTGTGGGCTGCCGCTGGTTGTTTACAGTCGGGTCATCTGAGACAGATGGCTTCGAATGCTCGCCACTCGGCTGTGAGTTGAGTTCAGTACGAGGCTGTGGGCTGCCGCTGGTTGTTAACGGTCGGGTCATCTGAGACAGATGGCTTCGAATGCTCGCCACTCGGCTGTGAGTTGAGTTCAGTACGAGGCTGTGGGCTGCCACTGGTTGTTCACGGTCGGGTCATCTGAGACAGATGGCTTTGAATGATCGCCACTCGGCTGTGAGTTGAGTTCAGTACGAGGCTGTGGGCTCCGCTGGTTGTTTACAGTCGGGTCATCTGAGACAGATGGCTTCGAATGCTCGCCACTAGGCTGTGAGTTGAGTTCAGTACGAGGCCGTGGGCTGCCGCTGGTTGTTTACAGTCGGGTCATCTGAGACAGATGGCTTCGAATGCTCGCCACTCGGCTGTGAGTTGAGTTTAGTACGAGGCTGTGGGCTGCCGCTGGTTGTTTACAGTCGGGTCATCAGAGACAGATGGCTTCGAATGCTCGCCACTCGGCTGTGAGTTGAGTTCAGTACGAGGCTGTAGGCTGCCGCTGGTTGTTTACAGTCGGGTCATCAGAGACAGATGGCTTCGAATGCTCGCCACTCGGCTGTGAGTTGAGTTCAGTACGGGGCTGTGGGCTGCCGCTGGTTGTGTTCGTGTCGTGAGAAGCTCACCGGCTTAAAGGACGCAGTTTATCGGCAGTTTCTTGAAGGCGCTGCTGTATGACTCTCCCAGGAACTATCATAGAGGGCGTCCCTGGTAGAAGTGTTAGAAAGCCCTGCCGATCTAGGAGGTTCGTTGTTTGTGGATACCTGAACTGTGTCTTGCGAGTTACTCGGAGGACGATGAAGCGACATATGTCAAAAATTTACCCGGGGTTTTCTGCTGCCGAGAGGATCAGCGGCCTTGGGTTAAGATGACGGGTATCGCTGACCTATGCCTCACGTACTGCCTGCCGCACTGCAGATTAGGCGAGCTGACCGGCTAACACTTGTGAGCCAAAACGCCTACATTGTCATGATACTGTATATAAAGTTATATGAAGGCAACATGCCGTTTAAAAATGTATTGTGCATCTTCTGAAATTAAGCTTGCATGAATTTCGTACTAGATTCCGTTGACTAAGACTGTATCAGCCGGTCAGTCTGCAAAATCTACGGTGCGGCAGGTGGGCGTGATTGAAGTAAATGCCTATCGGCAAAATGACTAACTACATACGGTGTTTTGACGATCTAGACACTTTTGCTTCAGCATACCATTACTTATTCTCTAAACTGCTGCATAAAAATTACGGTGGAGCGATATTACGAACACGCCACATAAACTCTGATCGGGCGCCGTCGCGGCCGCGCCGTACAGACTGCGCAATGACAGTGGATGAGTTTTTATGCTGAGCACCCCAATAGCAAATAATGTCATTAACTAACTGAGACAGAAAGTTTTATTTACCCGGGATTTTATCTAAAATAAAGCTTACCGAACGTAAACTAACCTAATCTAATGTCAAGTTCTTGCGCTGTTGGCCGGCGTGCCGCACCAGCTGTCACCGTGAAATGTCACGTTGCACCAAAAGGCCACATTAGAGTATCGTGGCTCAGTTCCATGCTCGCTTGCTCCGCCTGCCACACGGTATGGGATTGCAGGTTCACTTAGTGTTCAACGCTGAGCAACCCTAGCACAGCGCACGAGGAAGGAAAATAAATGCCCACTGTACATGCATATTACGACTATTATCTTGTTCGGACAGCACTCTACTTTAGCAGGCTACTTTTGAGTTCTAAGTTCTAAGCCGGAAATTTACCTGAAAATTTGTCTTGGTCTCACAATCTACTCAAGCCAAATTTCAGTGTGGAGGCATTTGGAAATCCACAGAGGGTCCCTGCCCCCGTAAAGGCGGCAGAGTCCCACTCTCCCTGGCCGGTCCCCCAGAACCTACTCCAGAGAGGTAACGGTGCGGAGTGCCTCGAACAGCCGAGATCCAAGGCTTACAATGGGCCCGCGCCAGAATGAAGCGGCTTTTCCATCGCACATCTCACTTCTCTTCGGATTCTTACACAATACATGACTGTCTTATCTTTTTTTTTAAAACGGAGAACTGTGGCAAACCATACCAGTTGGCAAAAACGTGTGCCTACTTAAACCCTTGTGTAGTGACCTGGTTTTTTTGTTACTGAGGACTTTTCCAGGATATTTTAAAGCACAAGCAAGGTCGCGCTGGACTTATATCGACGGTCGGAATTCTGCCTTCTATGCTTTTATACAAATCCAACTCCACACGTTAATTTAACAACAAGAAAACACTTATAAACAAGGGCATATCAAATTCAAATAAAAGCGTGAAGGTTCTGTCTCCAATTTGAAATTGAATACAACTTCATCCGACTTCTGGTCGTGACCAATCATCCGAGCTAAGTTGACTGTTGGCGGTGCCAAGAAACCCTCAACTGCGGCGATGAACACTGATCGGCCGTCCATTTCATTTGCTGTTTATACTGCTGTGCGTACCTGTGAATCATGGAAATACATGGCTATGTGAATGTATGCTTTGCTCACATTTATCTTCCTTGCCTTGCGCCGGACAGCATCAGCCGGTTGGAATAAAAATGTTGCGTCAGGTTCCCTCGTAACCAGTCTATGCCCAAAAATTCAGGCATCTTCAGAAAATCGTCTGAGGATAAAAAAGCGCACCACCTAGTTACAGCGCCTGGAACACCTGATGCGGAGCTTCGTCACTGCGCGGCGGTCGCTTACGGCTTCCCTTACCGGAGCGGCCGACAGCTAACGCCGCTACCTAGCATCAGGTGTCCGAATCAGCTGGTCATTGGTGTCACGTGCACAGCTGGACCCGTGCCATACACGGAGGACTGCGCCCGTCTACCATTCCGACCGCCCGTACAATGTCAACCGCAGAACGACTACGCGAGCGCCACACCGCGGCAGGCGACAATCTTGACACTAACCTAACCTGACCTAATCTAGCCTCACTAAACCTAACCTAACCTAACCTAATCTAACCTAACCTAACCTAACCTAACCTAACCTAACCTAATCTCACTTAACCTAACCTCTTACCTGACCTAGCCTAACCGAACCCAACCTAATCTCACTTTA